GGGGACCCCCCGGAAGAAGGGCGCTTCCCCCAGGCGCGACTTCCGCCGCCGCTTCGGCGGCCAAAAATTGTCTCAACTGCTCTTCGATCGCTTGATCTCTCCCACGTTCTTCGCCCGGGGAAGGGTTACTGGGGCCGGCCACGTCCGGTGGGGGTGCGCTGGGCCTCGGTTCGGTTCCCCCCGAAGAGTCTTCTGCCGTGGAAGCTTCGGGGGGGGCGGTGCCGTTTGTTTGTGCTATTCTTTCGGCCGCAGGGGCGGCCGTCGGCATGTCGTGATCGTCAGGGGAGCCGCCTAACAGTGCAGCAGTAAAGAAAGAGTTAAGAGAGCAGCTGACGTGTGGAAAGGTGCGTGTTTGCATTCTACTCGATAGCTTCCTGCTTTTACATTCATAATCTGATCGACACAATAGGCTTGCAGAGCGTGTGTGCTTGGAATTTTCCAAATGACCTTTGCGGATGCAAAAACATATTTCAGTAAAACGCCTTTCTACAGTCAACGTCTTCCAAAGCTCCGTCTTAAGGACTAGATATGCTCAGAATGCACGGTAGTTCACTGCGTCTTCTTCGAACAGAAGCTTAGCTGCACATGAATCTGTGGTCTACGTACTAAAAGCTCGATAACGCATACAATGATAATAGCGCCTGAAAGAGGACAGAAACGGCTCAGATCAAATCATGAGAACGAGGACTTACTGTCATTTGATGGTTCATCGTCATCGTCCGAGGCCAGTCCCGGACCGTGGTCAGTTTCTGCCTCAAGGAAGCTTTCCAAGAGGTCCTCTGCGAAAGAGGGAAACAAATGTTGTCCCCCGAACGACAAAAGCCGGCGTATGACAGACTTTGAGCGGTTCCTCGGGCGAGCGAGACTGCGTGCACCTCACGGAAAGGAATTGAAAATCAACAACACTTGATTCTCAAATCGGAAGACACCCCCTGTCAAGCCTGAGAGCACGTTAAGACGCGAGAATGGTTTTCGGACTCTTCAAACTTTCTTCAATACTTCAAAATGCTTGCTCCGTCCATTATTTTTGTTAGGTAGCGTGTAGCGATCCTAAAAATCCTCATGCTCTGAGGGCAACCCTCCTTACCAAACTCGGACACCGCGTCGTCATCCTCAACCTCCTCCATCTCCCAGTCTCCTCCTTCCTCGTCCTCTGACTCCGCTATTCTCTCCGGGGGCCCCACCTCTCCCTCTGCTTGCCCCAAGAAGGGGGTCGGTCCAGGCGCCAATACCTGCCCCCCCACTACCATTTGCCAGGCGTTCGGCGCCGGGGCGCCCTCTTCTTCCCCACCCCCGTCCTCGTCCTGCGCAAGCAACGCCACACCTCCCTCGACAGGCATCAGGTTCCCCCACATGGCTTCCATCACCTGTTGAGCTACCAACTCATCTTCACCCCCCGCCGCAAACTCCGTCAGATCCCCCTCAGGGACGTCCAAATCCATCACCTCCCCCTCGTTCATCCAAAGCGCCCCCCGCGTGGTTGCCACGAGCATCCGCCCCCCCGGGCCCATCACATCCCCCCCTGCGCACTCCACCCAATCGGGCCCAACCGCGAGTAGTGCCGCTCGGCGTCGGGCCCCCCCTCGGTGTGAATACCCGCCTGCCAGTCCGGCAACGGGCGACGCGCCCACGCCACAACGCGCGAGCGCTGCCCTAGGACCACGTGGCACAGCGGGCTGGCCCCCGACTCGCTCGATGGCGCTCTGCAGAGCACACACGTGGCAGCCTCTGACTCCTGCTCGCTTTCGTCATCGCCTGCAGTCATTGTCGCGGCGAACTGCGCCTGCGACGCCTTCATGCGCGCCAGCATCGCGGCCTGACGAGCCCGTGCTTGCTGCTTCCGCTGCTCGATCTCCGTTGGCGGACCCGTACCGGTCTCTTTACTTTCCTCCATTTCGGACAGAACGGTCGGATCGAGCGTCAGGATCCCACGCTGCAAGGCTTCGTGCATCGTGGCTAGACTTCTCAGAAAGCCCTCAATCATCTTCGCCCCCTCCGTTTTTCTCGCGTCCCCCCCCGCTTCTCCCTGCAAAAAGCGCCCCCTGAGCCGTACGAGCAGCTCAACCAGACCCCGCTTCCCAGCTCCCGAACTGGCCCCCGCCGAAAAGCCCCTCCCGCCCACTATACCCAGCACTCCCTCCACAGCCTTCTGAAAGAACGGCAGCCGATCCACCGGGCCAGTCGCCTTCTGACACGTGTCCAGCGCCAGGGCCAGCAGATGCAGCGCCGCATACAGCCCGTTGTCGGTGACCTTCCCGTCTCTCCCCTCCTCCGCCCGACTGAGCATCGCAACCACTATATCGTGCACCGCTCTGCTCGTGGGGATATTCACAAGGCCCGCAAAGGCGGGAAACGGGTCCGTCCACTTTGGCAGGAGCGCGAACGTTGCCGACTTGTTGGTCGCCCGGAAGAAGCGCTCCTCGGCTTCTTGCAGCTTGGCGCGGTCCCAGGAGAGCGCCCAGGGGTCCAGCTCCTGCCAGCACTTGTCCTTGAGGGCAAACTTTCCGGGCTCCAAACCTGAAGAAAAATGAAGAAAGACCATAAGAGGGAAACAATTAGGCCGCATTCTGACGAAGAAAAGGAGCGGCTACGACGTAGAAGAAAAAGAAAACTCTCCGGGCCTCCATCCTGAGATATGCGTTAACAAGGAAAGAGTTTGAAAACTTCGGGAGCTCCGGTTTGTCCCCTGCTCACGGCGACCCCTGCTCACGACAAATACAGGTTCTCTGAAAAAAACCGCCCCCACCTGTGGGCTTAATGAACGTGGCCACACCGCGCAGCGCGTCTTTGATGTGCTTGCTCTCGCGCAGCTTGGGCGGCAACGCTTTGGAGAGGGCACTGTACGTGGCGTCCTCGCGCGCCAGTCGTTGCACCAGCTCGCGCCGCAGCAGCTGCTTCTCGTCCAGCCCCGAGAGGCCCCGTTCGGAGCTGATGCGCACCAGGAGGGCGAGCAGGGCCTCGGCCAGCTGCGGCTCGTACCTGCAACAGGGCCCCGACGTAAGACGAAGTGCGAGCACGAACCAGTGGTTGTTGCGGGGGCACGACGTATTTCTTCGGAGGCAGCACATTATGTCGACGAGACACCAGAGGTTATGGGCAGACTCTTTGTCCAACAGTGATGTGATGAAAGTGCTTGCTCCCGTCCGAAACAAGGGATCCAAGGGCCGGCGCAACACTGGTTAAGCTCGCGTCGTAAATTGAACTATCAGTCACCGATTACGTTGACCTTCACGATGGACTACTATCAAAGCTTTGTCTTCAAGCGTACATCTGTCAGTATGGTTGGCAGTGCAAGCGACTGACACTTCTCAACCATACCCAAAATCCAATGAGGGCTTATCTCAGATGAAGCAAACCCTCCTGAGTCAAACCCATAAAACTTCATCAACAGAAGCATTCTATCACTATCTTACTCATGCTCCAAGGAGGCCCCCGCAAGGTACTCCTCCAGGCCAAACCGCTGCACGACTCGCTGGACAAAGTCCTCTGGGGGCGCGAGCACCGCGCAGCACTGGAGCAGAAAAACGTCCAGGTCGCGGCTGTCCTCGCACCAGTAGTTGTTGCTGTACAGGGCGGCCAGGTGGGCAATGCCGGAGCCGTTGCGGCGCCACATGCCGGCACGAATCTGGGCGTTTAGGACCTGCGGAGAAGGGGAATTGGTTAGGTAATGAGGCTGAGATACGTGGCAAGCATGAAGAAGGAGAGAAGTGTTGAGTAGTTTTTGCTGAACCGGGCGGCCAAGTGGGCGCTCCTGAAGCCGTTGCGGTGCTACATGCCGGCACGGATCTGGGGAGACAGGCGGGTGGTGAGCGGAGTGGGTGTGAGTGATAAACTGGGCAAGCACGAGAGATCTGCAAGTGCTCGTAATAAGGAGCGGAACAGCAGTTTAGAGGGCCACAGGAACTCCCTGCACACTCTAATGGATCAGCAGTCACGAATTTTAGGACTATGCAACGCCCCCAATGTATGCGCTGTGGAAGGCTGGAAGTAGACCGAACATCCAGGTCTCAAAAGTCTGACTGTGGTTCCTGAAGCGTTGGATTGGGAGCACGGAGAAAAATGTTTATCAAAGCCTTGCCACTGGCCAACGGGACCCTGCTCTCAGGACCCACCTGCAGCTGCAGGACGTGCTCCATCACTGCAGCAGGAAACCCGCTCTCCCGGTACTTTGCGGGGAGGAGCGACCGTAGGAACTGCCCCTGAGAGCCCCCCCCGGTGCACTCCACCGCCCCCCGGAAGCACTGCGCCAGGAATCGGTGCAGCGGCAGGTGGAACGACACCGGCTGCTTAGCCACATCAAAGTGGACCGTCTGCCACTTTGCGGACTCTGCTAAGGTTACCCACCCAACTGGCTCCTCGTTTGCCGCAGGTTTGGCCTTAACCGGGGCTGCTAAACCGGCCACCTCTGGCAGTCCCGGCAGCTGGCCCGGTCTCACGTCCTGAGCCCCGACGATCCGCTCCGAACGCCGGGTTGTTCGTACTAACCGCGCCCGCGTCAAAGCGACCCGCTCGAGCTGCCGGGGGGGATACCCCGGTTCATCTGCCGCTTCCCTGGCCATCAGCTCCGGCACCAGCCTGCGCGACTCGCGCACCTGGTCGATCTCCACCCACGTCGCAAGAACGCCGGCACAGACTGCGATCAGGCTCGTCAGCGGCGCAGGTACGCCGTCCGGATCGACTCGACCCTGGTCCTTCTGCACGACCGGAGTGGGATCCCCCGGCTGCGATGACGTCAGAGAGGGATCCCCCGGCGGCGACGGCGTCCCCGCCTCCACCAGCATGCCCACCATGACCGCGAAGAAGTCGGGGCTCGCCAGCCCCGAGCTCGCCATCTCCCGGGTCATCTCTGCAAGAGACGCCATCACCTTCTCCTTGTACTCCTCCTCAGGCAGGCCGTCCGAATCGCCAAAAACACTCGTGTCCGTCTGCGCTTTCCCCTCCTCTTGCGGAACCTTCTCCTTGCCTTTTCTCGACTCTCGTTGCCCCTCGGTACTCGTTCCTTCCATCCCCGTCAAGGCATCAGCTCCAGTTTCACCTGCCACTTGTTCCCCACGTCCCGTCTCCTCCCCCTCTGTGCTCGAAAGCTCGACCGCTACCTCGTCCCAGGCCCCCCGACCCTGCTTCGCTCCTTCTACGATCAACCGGTACAGCATCCCGAGCTCCGTCTCGAGCATCAGCGCGTCCCGCCAGGCCTCGGATTCCATCTCGATGTGCGTGCCGGTACGTCGTGTGTGCGGCAGCATGCCCTGCGGAAAGGCGAGGAAGTGCACGAAGGAGCGCGCGAGCTCGGGACGGACCTCGGCGGCGAAGCCGGCGACCGCGGGGGCGGAGAGGACGTACTTGAGGTCGCTGAGGATGCGGGAGTATTGCTGGGTCTGGATGCTGGAGTGGGCCACCTGAGGAGCGCAAGAGACTGTCCGCTTGCTTAGCTATCATAGATAATAAGAGTCAAAGAAAGAGAAACCGGAAGAGAGTGTCAAAACCTGTGCAGTGAATCTTAGGCCGGTAGGAACCTCTTAAATTGGAGCCGGGGACATTCTGTGCACAGGACAGCATCTCTCACGATGGCAGAGCAAAAGAATGCGGCAGGGTGCAGCCGAAGTTTACTACCGTAGTCCCGATGGGTTCTCTACGTTGCACGTGGAAGCTTTTTTCTCAGACAAATTTTCGACTGCTACGAACTCCCGCTTGACTTCAAACTCTCGCCTCTCCTTCCAGGATGACAAAACAGCCGCAACGACAACGTGATAGTCCTCAACGACCTATGGCAACTGGAAATGAACATCAGAAGCAAAAGTGAGAAGAAAGAGATTACGTACCTCCAAACGTCCCATTTGTCCTATGGCGGGACGCACAGCGTCCCGCAGCGTGGACAGCAGAATGTCCAGCAGATCGTTCTCGAGAACCAATCGTGCGGTCAGCAGAGGCACTGTGAAGATTTGCACTGAGAAGCCGGAGAAGTGCGTGAGCGGGTACCCGCGCTGTTCCGCAAAGAGGGTGTAGTTTTGAAGGAACACCTGCGGAAGCGAGGAGGGCGTCATGTTTATAGAGCCGCAAAAAACACGCAAAGTGGTCGGTTTCTGGACGGTTGCTTGCTTCCGGTCAGCGACTTGTAAGGGACGATAATGCTGGAAGTGCATGTGCTTTGGATTCTCAACAACTCGTTTGCCCAATTTAAAGAGTGAGAGTGAACACAATAGATTTAAGATTGAATTCGTGAACCAAAAGGGACTACCTATACCCGGTCCAACGATAGCGAACCTCAGGAATCGAAACGGGCTTGCCCTTACACACATGTCAGGCAGCACCCAGCTTTTGAAGGCCTAATCATCCACAATAATCTCGAAACCGGAAGCTTCCAGTGGCAATCCTTTGACGATCACACATCCTGTCGGAAGTGCTCTGTTCCCAAGATCGTAGCTCCGAAGATCCGGGCCTGAAGTACCACTACCTTACGAATTCCAGTTGGCAAGCTGGGTTATGGAATCGGTCTCTGCTGCCAAACTTCCGTTCGGAGTCTCATCGAATTTTGTATGACTAGAGAACGCTCACTTTGGCGAAGCTGTACTTGAAGTCCGGGTCCCCCAGCAGCTTGTACAGCAGCGCGTGCACCTCCGTCTCCGCTTCCGAGTCCAGCGCCCGTCCCGCACCCATCAGCACACTCAGCAGCCCCAGTTGTTCATCCCCCACCAACCGTCCCACAAAGCGCAATAGCGCCTCCCCCCGGTTGCATAAATTTAGAAGTTCTCTGGCCACCACGGTGCTCGTGCCTTCTGCGGCGCTTACGACGTCTTCCTTTCCGTAGTAGTCCTCCTCCTCCAGTGCTTTGCTGGCGACGTCCAGCCTCTCGACCCAGTCCGCCAGCACCGCTTTCAGGACCGGAGTCGCCGTGCGCACGAAAGCCTCGGGGAGCGCGACGCTCTCCCCAGACGGCCCCTGGTGATTGGGACAGAACCCCTCCCGCCGCCAGGCCGTCGGGTCGCCGCAGTCGCAGCAACCGCCGCCCGTGCGGATCATCTGGTAGTCGTGGTCCCTGTGCTCTCCGGCCAGGAAACACGAGGCGCACACGGCGCACGTCGGGTCCAGCTCGCAGTCCCGGCAGCGGTACGCGATGTCGTTTGTGCCCCATTGTGCGCCGCACGCTCCGGTGCCCTGGCTCCCTGTGTCGAGCAGGGCGTCGAGCGCCCGGGGGACGTCCTCCGGTGCCCCCAGCATGGCCCAGCGCACCCAGGCCATCGCCTGCCGGTAGTTGTCTACAGCGTACTCATCTGGGTCGAGGCTGACGCTCGGGAGAAGGGCGTGTATGAAAGTGGGGACGGAGTCGGGGTGGGAGTGGAGCCAGGCGGCGAGGCGCGAGCGGTCGACGGGGGCGCGGGTGAGGTCGAGAAGGTTGGCCTCCTTGAACCTCTGCAGAATGGAGTCGAATGAGGGTCAGGTTTGTCACCCAACAGATGCAAGTGAATTTCTGCGAACAACTTGCAACACACATGAAACTTTGGAAGTGTCTGAAAAGCTGATCAACAATCAATGGCAGTAACAATCTCACAGGAGGTTGGATTTAGGACTCCGGAGACTCGATGAATAAGGTGTAACAGCTTTTGGTGGAAGGTTTCATTATGACTTCATCGACTTGTCAGGTCGTGTGCCCCCATTGTTGAGAGCTGAACCTGGCACTGGCAGAGTCTGGTAAGGAAAATGACAGATCTACATTTTCAGCACTTGTAAGCTCAATCTTTTGTTCACAGCTGTTTATGCATGAGTATGTGAGGCTGAGCAGTTCTGGAACTATGCCTTGTGACCTGCCAGAGATCAGTCACGTTCAAAACTGCAGCAAACAGTGCCTTTCACAATGTCCCACTGCGTCAATGCAAATGAGACAGGAAGCAATTCTCCGGACATGCCCTGACATCAGCAGGATTGCATCATGCACGATTCAAATGTTACAAAAAGCCTTGTCAAGCACGTCAGAAGTTGTGAGCGAAATTGTTATCATGCTTCCAATTGTCCTCCAGCAGGAATGAGGGCATCAATCAACTTAGTCTTCAGCATGACCAGCAATGCCATCATGGGACAGGAAGAGTCTCCGATGGCAGAATATCAAGGGTGAACCCACTCCACGTCCAAGATTGAGGCAATTCTCTATCAAACTCAAGAAGATTTTGGGGCTTCTCACATATTGCAGCCCCCAGTTCTGGCTGTTACTCAGCCATTCTGCTGATGGCTCACTGACGCCTTGCGCCACCACTTGGTCCTCCATTCTTCCAGGGCGCCCTTACAAAACCTGCTCAGGAGAGACTGCACGCAAGTAGGCCAAACGTTCCTAATGCATCAGCTGTGAAGGCAGCTTCCTGCTAAGATCAGCGACCCTATGCACTGGACTATGCATATGTCCAGTGCAGACTGTGCATGGCAGTGCACGTTGGCTTCGACCTCTTGCAATCAGCTACAACATGGAAACCAGCAACCACCTGCAAACGTGCTAAAAAGGCTTCTTCTCTTTGACAGATGCAACTCCTTGACAGTCGAGGTTGAAGAGAGTTACAAGAGCCCGTCCCACAGCGAAATGCGCGCAATGCCACGGCCAGCATTAATCGAGGCAGCTGCTGATCAAGAGAAGTATCCATCAAGAGCAGCCCAAGAAGTGAGCAATTTTGCAGCAACATTCGGTGGCGTTCATGTGTACGGTAGTTGAACCCAGGCTGGTCCCTGGACCGGCATGGTACACCGATGTACACTTGTACTTCCAAGTACGTATTGTAAGTGCGAGCCCTAAAGATCGTAAAACAAGCAGCACCGTCAGATGAACTCTGTCGACGGCTTGCAGTACCCATTTTGATTTTCGAGCGCCGTATTACCCGGAAGACCCTCTGACAAGCAAATATGGAAGCAACACGTGGAAAAAGAACTGGATCAGAGGGAGCCCTGGGGCCAAGGTGGGCATGAGCCTCTTCATGCAATGTGACCGTCCGTGGCAGGCGTCACCGTGGCCCCTCACACAGCGTGTTCAAGACTCAAGAGCAAGCCGCCAACCTGCGTCTTGGAATACCGTAATGATGCAGTGGCCCTAAAAGGGATGCTGAAGGTGCTTCAACTTCAAGCGGAGATCTAGGGACAACTGTTTGCAAAGGGAGCCAGTACATCGGTGCGCTCTTGATAAATTGCCCTGTTAGGTGCACATGCAAAGTTGCAGCCTTCGAGGGCACCACTTCTTTTTGGCCACAGTTCTGGCGAGGAATGGCAAGTCCAAGCTCGAAGCCGTTGTGGTGGAAAGGGATGTTGCATCAAGTAAAGCGAGGGCCTTTTACCATCAGCGCGGATGTATCGAACCGGCTCCCCTGGTGTGTCCTCCACCCTTCTCTTTTCAAAACCGACTTTCACAAAGATGTTGATTACTTTGAGAGTAGTTGGGTCTCAGTTGTGACTATCCTTTCGTTCAAAATGCATCACAAGAAACTTCTTTGCCCTTTAAACTGTATCTAAGTTTGCTGAACCGTGCTCTTCAAACCTTGGACACTTCCGGCTGCCGTCTTTTAGTGAGTAGTCAATGAAATAGTGGTGTCAGGTCAGTTGACGAGTATATCAAGATGAGCCATCAGCTCCTAGAAGACCTTAGCTTTCGAGCTCTGGCGCCCAATGCTGTTCGGCGCCATGCCCTTAGTTCTAGGCAGTTTCTGACGATCCTTGCTCACTTCTAAGGGGTTGAATTCATGATCATACCTTTCGTAACCAGGCCCTAATGATGAATACAGGTATGCCGATGACTGGAGGGAAGGGCTGAACTGCGGGCTCAGGTGCGTGACCCTTGCAAACATAGACACTTGTTGAGTCCAGAGGAGTGCGCAGAGAAGGTCCTTGCGATGTTTGAGAAAGTTCCTACGGACACCCTTCCATGATATCGAGCTCCACCGGGCTGCACCGATTCATTCGAGCAGACTCAGTTTTGGAGTGTTGTTGCTCTGATTTTCTGACTGTATCCTTCACTGCTGCTGTAACTGATCCTTTGGATCCTTCCACGGGTTGGTTAAGTGTAGTGGTCATAAGCCCCTTCACATGACAACGTGGGTCATGAGGGCCAATATAGGAACAGAGGAGTGCGCTCATATGGAATTCTCATCTTTGAATCCGTTTGTGCTAAATCTGGTAACACTCGGGAACTCTGGAGGTCAAGATTCTAGGGCTGTAATGAGTGTTCTTGTCTAGCGGCAGGTATCAAAACCTTTTTTCAAGTAGAAGGGAATGTTAGGACTAGTCTGACTTCCCACTTGAAAGACGGCGTTACTCCATTCAATCGTCATTTGTTGAACGCGTTAGTTCTCTGCAGAATACTTGCTCCCGCAACATACATCTTCTTCGCATCTGCAATCCCTGCTTTGGCATTTGGAGAGCAGTTAGAGCGAGCCACGGGTGAGGTCCTATACCACTTTCTTGCAAGGGGGGTAGTCTTTCTTGTAAAGGGGGTTGGCTTCTGGCTTTTGGATCCACAACGAAACGATCATATTCCAGGGGTGATCTTAGCAGTGTCATCCACGGAGTGATTCAGCCCAGCAGAGTCCAGTCAGGCAATGGTCGTAAGAATCTTGTTTCGGTTGCGCTTGCTGCAGGATAGTATTGTGATTCACCCTAAGGTACAGACCCCTTGCAATCGATTCAATGGCCCTCTCACGCAAAGGAATGGGATGAGAGGATCTCGTTGTGTGGGAGTGTCCGACTCTCCATTCATAGGCGCTTCTCAGCGCCCATTTCCAGTTGCCCCCTTCCGATACAGTGAAGTCAGCAAGGCCTTCTGTTGAGAAGCATGCATGACGGATCAAGTAGAATTTCAAGTCGAGATTCGACTCAACTTGCTTCTGGTGAACTTCTTCTAGATGGAACCCTGTCTGCCGTGCATACCCTCGCAGCCACCGGCATCACAGGCGTGCTTCAAGTAAGTTTCCGACTTCCAAAATCACTCAGCTCGACTACTTTGCACCCAGTGCGACTGCTCGACCTAATCAGCACCCTACTGCTCACCTCTCCCGATCAATCCCCATCCGATCAAATGCTTACACGCTTTTTCCGGTTTAGAAGGTTGCTCGTTGACTTGTTTGAGGTTGGTCGTGATTAAACCATTTGGTGGCGGGGCGCTTTGACCAGCCGATTAACCAGGGGTCCACGTATCTCGTCATTTCGGGGGTTTCTTGGTAGGCTCCCTAACACCACTCATCACGCCCCCCCCATTCGTGCGCAGGCCGTGTTCGGCGGGCAGCCCCTGCTCATTGTCGGCGTCTCCGAGCCCATCACTCTCATCTACAGCTACATGTATTCCTTTTCCAAAAGCATAGACGCGATCGGTCCGGGGCTTTTCCTCGCCTGGGCCGGGTGGGCTTGCATATGGGCTGCGCTGTTCATAGCTATACTGGCGCTGAGCGGCGCCTGCCAGCTTATCGGCTACTTCACCCGGTTCAGCGGGGAGCTGTTTGGGATGCTGATCGCGATCCTGTTCATGCAAGAGGCGATCAAGGGGTGGATCGAGGAGTTCGGGCGGCAGAAGGGGCCGACCGCGGCAGTGTGAGCGGTCGCACTGTATTTCCTGCTTGCCGTTTTCCTTTCTGCTTTTTGCAAACTTTGTTGTCTGAATTTCATCGTCCTCGTCCTGTACACGTGAAGGACACGTTTCAGACAAGGGCTTCTGAGTTGCAATGGACGGACTCCTTTTGCATTTTTTGGATCTGGATGCTCAATTGTCTTATGTTGCATCACTTGGTGCGCCCAAGAAAAGGCGTGGGTACCAGCCCAAATAGACGTTGCACCTTGGGATGGTCTCGTTCTTTGCGTTCCGTGGATATTTGAACGCATGCTAGTTCGAACTGTGGTTATGAAAAACATCCACATGTTCGTTCCTTTATTTGGAGGAAAACGAGAGCGACACTGAATCCATGTTGAGCTGTATGACACCGTTGTCTTGCATTCTGTGGTTTGAGACCCAGTCCGATCTGATGCTGTATCCCTCACAGGAGCATTTCCTCGTTGCCTGTGCGTTTTGCGTAACTTCGACGCATGCTGATTCAATCTTACACATTAAGTTCTAGTTTACAATGATTTCCACTTTGTTTCGGCCTTCCGTGAACCGAAGACTCGATCTATTTCTCAAGAGCACTCTCCACGTTGTTTTTCCAGTGGTGCTGCCCAGCTGCCCGAGTGGCGCTTGGTAAATGGGCTGTGGGGCCTCGTCCTGGGCTTCGGCCTGCTGTTCACCTCCATGGTGCTGCGCACCGCCCGCGGGTGGCGCTTCGGACCCGCCTGGATCCGGGGCTTCCTGGCGGACTACGGGGTACGAATAAGTTCTTTTCATTTTCTCGGAGGGCCTGCTGTGTTTTGTCCCTGATGCATGTCACGTCGCTGAAGGTCTGGGATGGCGCTTTGGCCCCGCCTGGGTCCGGGGCTTTCTTCCTTTGCTGCCAAGTCAGGGTGGATTTTCTACTCTTATGTAGCTCTTGATACGTATCCCGTCTGGAGAAGGTTTCTTTCCGCGGAGAGGACACGTCGTGGGAGCTTCTTGCTGAGATGGATGCGAGATATTTCGCCTCGTCTGAAGTTGCGAGCCGCCCGAAAAGGAGAGGGTCACAACCACGATTCTTGTCCAATCGATTGGTGCACTTTGAAGACACTTGTTCAACACTGTTTGTCCAGAAGCACGGATACCCGATTGTCTACAGGTTGGAACCAATGTTGGGGCGTCGTGCGTTTCGTTTCAAACGAGGAGTTTGCATCTTCAGTCCTCACGTAGTCGAATTCTGAGAAAGACCCAAGCATTCCTCTTATCGGTCCCTAACCTTTGACCCTGAATTGCTGAAACCCCGACCTCCGCAGGTGCCCATCATGGTCGCGGTCTGGAGCGCGCTTTCCTTCGCCGTCAAAGGGGCGCCGACGGGCGTTTTGCGCCGTTTGGCCCTGCCCAACACCTGGAACGTCAAAGACACGTGGACTGTGGCCAAGGTGAGTTTAGTGGTTTCTCGTTCTTGCTCCCAGGAGGATTGGGGGTTTTGAGGTGTCAGGGGTATGCGCTGGCTTCAGGATCTGGCCGTCATACGGTTCCCTGGCCTTGATCCAAGCAGGTTACCGCTGCGTTTGGAAAACCTGTGTCAATCTTTCTATGTATTATCGAGCTCAGATTGTCTCTGTTCTCGAGTCCAAAGCATGTCGCCTCGCTTGAGGCCGCATATGACCCTTCGAAAGGAGCTTGTCAGAAATGTTAGACGTTATCGAATCAAACCGTCGAGCTCCCGGATGGTTTGGAAAACTACCATGCTGAAGTGGACAAGCGCAACGTCTCCCGTTCAGGTCATCGCGTTGTGCAGTGAAGGTTCCAAGTCAGGGACCGAGTCCAATCCATACCGGACGCTCAGCGATCACCCAAGCTTCTGACTTCGAGCTTGCTTGCTGATCACTGGACCGTAGGATGTCGATTCTGGGGCTATAATGTGATCAAGTTGACGCCTTCCGAGAAGGAAACTCAACGCTGCTTCTTCTGCAGATAGCTCTTCAATGCAGGACAGGTAGCTTAAGGAATAGTCAGCACAAAAGCGAAGACGGGAGATCCCAACCCGTTCGATTAGCTGCTCCGCATCCATATCCACCTTAAACTCCACAATTAAGCCCACCCATCCCAGGCTGGCAAAAATATTCTTCCTGGCTCTTGCTTTTCCTGAAGACAAGAATCTCTTCTGCAGGACTTGGGCAACTTGGACGGGGCGTACGTCGCAGCGGCGATCATTCCGGGGTTTATCATCGCCGTTCTGTTCTACTTCGACCACAACGTTTCGTCGCAGATGGCGCAGCAAGAGGACTTCAACCTCAAAAAGCCCGCCGCCTACAACTGTGAGTCTGCACTCGTTTGAGGCCGCGTCCGTGCCCTTGAAACCCTAGAATACTGAAACTCTTCTACCATGCACGGGAACCACGTTTGGTAATTGGGTGAGGCTGACCCGCACAGCCGCGGAGATTCCCTTTGTTGACTCTGGCGGTTCGCACTGCTCAGCTTGTGGTGATTGAAAGGCTTGCAAAACACAGTTGCGAAGTGAGAGCGAAAGGCCGACAGGTTTGAAAGTGACTTCCCCAGGTGGAGGTCGGAACGGTTGGACAGCTTTTGAGTTATCCGGAAGCCATGCGGTTAGCCTAAGTTCTTCCTCGTCCTCACACGAAGGCTGCTCAATTGGTCATGCATACTCTTCTTAACCCACCTCTGTAACTAATCGGTTTCAGATCCCTGCGGTCTAGTCGTTCTAACAACCCTCTGTACCCCGCGGCCCGCCTTATAAGTAACCTCGATTTGCTGCTTTCTGCAGACGACATGCTGCTGCTCGCATTCCTGACCCTGCTCTGCGGCCTCATCGGGTTGCCCCCCATTAACGGTGTTCTCCCGCAGGCGCCCATGCACACTAAAAGTCTTGCTACGCTCAAGCGCCAGATCAACCGAGCGGCGCTGCGAAAACGTGAGTGACTTTGTTTCTGGCATTGTATCTCAGGAAAGCTTGTTTTGTACCATGAAACCAAGAGCCTCGCTCAAACACTCAAACGGCAGATTGACTGGATCGCGCTGTGGGATCGTGAGTGGTGACTGCCTCCCAGTACTCTTATCTCAGGCTGTTTCGTTTTGCTCGGACAAAAGGGGCCGTAAGCTCTTTTATCCACTGACTTTGAGTTCGGACTAGCTCGTTGTCTCCGACCAAGAGGATCACAAACCTTCTCATATCCTGGTGTATTGTCGCTCATTCGGAAGCTAAATGGAAGAACAAGGCGGAAACGGATACTACAGTAGTAACATCGAATTACCTTGGGGCCAAGTTTACTTGATCGCAATTACTGGAGAGGGTTGGTTGGTTGAAGTACAGGGTAACATGGCTGCTGAGCGCTTCACTTTGCGACTTGGATCGTAAGACAAGCCAGTTGGCGGGCGATGCAATAGTATTGTCACGCTCGAGTTTGACCCAGGTCTTTGTCACCGTCGACAATCCGACCACTTGTCGACGGTAAACCCACTTCCCAAAACCAAATTGACGGTCATGCGTTCCGGTCCTATTCCTGTGATTCAGGGCCTTTCGGACCGTCCATTTGAACTCCATTTCAAAAAGGACGCCAAGCGACGAAATGCATTCACCGCTTTGGTTCAGGAGCCGTCCGCGCCGTCGATTCGGACGGCCCCTCGGAAACGGACGCCGAGCGCGAGGCGAAGGTGATGGAGACGCACATCCCGGTGGAGGTGAAGGAGCAGCGCGTGACGCCCCTTCTGCAGTCCGCACTCGTGCTCGCGTGCCTCGCCATCACGCCCGCGCTGCGACAGATCCCCACGAGCGTCTTGTGGGGTGAGGACAGCCGATCTCGCTCACTTTGTTGAAAGCTTTTGTAGCCCATGGTTCACTTTCATAGACTTGGCAGCAATCCTGGTTTTACATGGTTCAAGAAAACGCAAAACAGCGGTGGTACCTTTCTGACGTACGAGCGCTTCTTGTATCTGGGATGAAGATTTAGCAGGCGCGTCGGCCCCCAACTTCGCTTGCAAACCGCTCAGCCGATGACCGATTGTTCTACGCATTCCGCTTTATGGGGTTTTGCTGGCAACTTATGGCCCGTCTTTGATTCATATCTTGGCTCCATCGGCCAACGCCTTGAAGCCGTGACCCTCTCTCGTTTCGCTAATCTGAGCGGCGGACTCGCCTTTGTCGTCCTTTGTTGTTGTATTCTCATCGACAATCTTCCAATTTTACACTCTTCCTTCCGACAAATCGTCCTTCGAAAAACTCCTCTCACATCTCAAAATGACGAGAATCCACACGCTGGCTGTCGACACGACGCACGATGACGTCAGCAGACTCCGGCCCCAATCGGCCGCAGGTTTCTATGCGTACATGGCACTCGAGTCGCTCCCGGGGAGGACCGGTGCCTGGGGATTCTCAATACCCGGCTGTCAACGTGAACGCGTGTTTACGTCAGCTGTTTTCTGACTGGGCGCAGGTTTTTTCGCGTACATGGCCCTCGAGTCGCTCCCGGGGAGCCAGTTCTGGGACCGGTGCCTGTGGAGTTTCACCAGCCGGCCGCACCGCATGCGCTTGCTACAAAAGGAGCACCCCCCCTACTTAGAGGTTGTGCCGTTCCGGACCATAGTCGCCTTCACGCTCTTCCAGGTCGTCTACACTGCGGCGGTGTACGGGATTACGTGGATCCCGGTAAGGAGTTTTCTACTGTGGCGGCAATGGAGATATGTTCAGCTGTTTTGAGCGATTTGCAAATTTGGATATCTTTCTTCGGTCTGGTTATGTTTCGGCGAAGAACACAACCTCTGCCGACTTTCGGATGCTTGCCCAGTGGACAGCGTTTTGTCGAAGTGTCAACAGTACGGTGTTGCCTTCGCAATAACGTCGCGTGTCGATGAAGTAAGTCATCCGCTTCAACTTCTGCGTTCGGCCGCGGTTACGCTTACCCCATGTCGTTCTCTTCAAAGTCTCGAACGATTGGCTCAGGATACACGGTACCTCTCCCGATCCTCTTACCCTGCACCTAGTGGACCAGTCTGTTTCCAGAAGGTAAACATTATGAGATCCTAATCAGTGGGAGACAAATCTTGCTCTGCGTGCTAGGAAACGTCCCGACTTGCTCACAGCCACCTCCTTTCACCAACGGAACTATCATACTCCCCTTCTTCATTGATCGCGGCACATTCCAGCGCGCTCTCTCATCGTACATCCACCCCCGGTGCAGATTGCCGGGATTCTCTTTCCGATCCCCATCATGTTGCTTGTGCCCGCGCGGCGCTTCCTGCTCCCCCGGTTCTTCTCCCCGGGGGACCTCCGCGAGTTGGACGCCGCCCAGTACGAAGAAGCGCCGCCTCTTCCGCCGGAGCTGGTGGAGGAAAGAGTCGATGGAGGCCGGCAGTCGCTGGACAAGGTAGGGAGGGTTGCGCTTCCAAGCGTGTCCCATATGTATCGCGGTGTAGGTCGCGTCGCTCTCCCCTTGCCTGCGTTTCCCTTTGTTGCTTCCTTCTCAAAATCGTCCTTCTCGCCTGCGGCCTTTGCTTTTCTCAACAGTGCTCTTGACATTTCGGGGACTGATTCTGGCCATTTGTTTCGCGATCTCGACTGTGGTGTTACTTTTCGATCTCGTCACTATCTTGCTCGGAACACTTCTGCTCTCAACTCAGCGCGAACCTGTTTCCATGTCATATCTCCTGGTGTCTGGATTTGGGAATCAACGGCCCCTCTTTTTAGGCCTCACTTCGTCGATTACTTCTCATCAATCATCTGCATGTTTGTCGTGCTGATATCGGCTGCAACCCCCCTTTGGTCAAAGCTGAAGGAGTCGACAAAAGGACAGAGAGAAACAGACAATTGATTGATGAGTTCGTATCAAATTTGTACGCGTCCACAAACAGAGGACCGGTCGAGATGGTCTGTTGAGTCACTCGAGCCGCCATCCCGCTTCCCGATTTGTCAATCGCATTTCCCCCGCTGCTGACGAGAAGAGACTTACCCGCCAATGAGCCGGCTCTTATACTCGTTCTCTTTACAAACCGACTTTTAGCACCCTCCGGTCCCTTTCAAGTCAAGGTCTTAAGGAAAACTGCAAATGATACGAACGTTCGAAGAGCGATCGGCAATGCAGGCAATCCGAGGGAGGCAGCCCGTCAAGGTTTTCACTCACAAGCTCAGTCGGGCAGAATTTTTGCCGAGCGCCCTCGCCTCCTCTTCGATCGCAAACCCGTTAAGTGAAAGCTCAAATGTTATGACCGTCCGCAGAGCACGGTCGACGACGACGAGGTGCCTGGAGATTCTTCCCAAGCTGACTGAAACTTCAATCCGCTTCCCTCTTCCGTCTGACAGCAGTCCTTAACAGCGCAGACGGTCGAATGTTTGCAGAGCGCAGCGGACGACGACGAGGTGCAGTCGGCGGAGTGGCGGGGCCTCAGTGTTATGACGCAATAATGTCCCTCCGCCTTCTTCTTCATTCTGAAAGCCGTCACTGATAGCGCAGATGGTCACACATTTGCAGAGCGCGGCGGACGACGACGAGGTGCAGTCTGCCGAGTGGCCGGGCCTGGAGATCAAGCACCACCTGACGCAGGCCGCCATGCACGAGCGGGGGCTCCTGCACCGGCAACGGCTGTCCGAAAATCCGGACCGGGACCTCCGGACGACGCGCTCGTTTTGAGACCCCGCCGGACGGTATCGGCTTGTTTGATCGTACGTCAAAGGCAGTTAAGACGCTACGGTTTGTTGATTGGCACGCGGCATGCGCATGATAGAGTCAAAAGATATAGCGGTGTTTTGAAGCGGGGCGGTTTGCAGGACTTTCGTGCATCGCGCTGAGGCGGGTTCGGTTGCTCCTACGGCTTTTGCTTTGCCGAGAGAGTACGCCCAGATATGACGGCATCCGCAGAAGGCGAAGCTGAGACTTCTATGAGGCGTGAGGCTGTATAACAGTGTTGCTCTGCTAACGAACGGTCATGTCCGATCTCCTCGGCACGCTAGAGTAGAAATGCACACAGTCGTATCGAATCGACTCGACTCGACTCGACTCGACTCGGGGAGCGTCTTTCTTTTTAGGTCCTAGCAGTAAGCCGAATGGCAAAATCTGGGGTAAGGGACACGGACATTTGTTTCGATTGGAGGATATGATCATCTGTGGATCTGAAACAGGATAGATTCATGTGCATGCCTACAATGGCAGGGTGTATTTCTATCACAGTATATCTTGCAATTGTCTGCATTTGGAACCGGAATCATTCGATATCTTACAAACGTGTGCATGGCCCGCTATCCGGCCAACGATTTTGCTTCAGTGCATGTTGAAGGCCCGTCCTCTCATGATTCAGACCCACCATGATTGCCAGTGAGCGTTCCACGATCGCCAGCTTGAGAGTCGAAAATGACAGCTAACTTACATATTCAATGGCACAAGGATAAACCGGTTAGTCGATCTTTCTAAATTTAGCTTCGTATCGTCGTGCCGCGTATTGGATCTACATGACATTCACTGCGGCTACCATCGATCCTTGGATGCCGTTGGAAGAGCTTGAAAACGAAGCCTAAGTTATCCTGCATATGCATCTGTGAGCTTGATGAGAGCTTTCGCAAGGCCGCGGCCGGTCCGATCGCGTTCGCGCGGCCATGCCGCGCGGGACATCTTACTAGTAGGCTCCGCTCATGATGATCCAAGTTTGCAGTACCGCGCCGGGTGTTGTCTTGCCCATGCGGTACGTACCTTCGGGGGTTCAGGAGCAGATTTGGTGGTCCACGGCCGCAAGCCGCAGCCGGCGGCCGACGCGTGGGTGTCGGCGCGCCGCGGCCGGGCCAATCAAGAGTGAGTCACTGGCGCGGCAATTGCCAGGCTACGAACAATATGAATGCCTGCTCAAACTTACAAAGCAAAAGTGCAAGCGTAAGCGGACGCAGACTGAAGCTATATCAGGGTATTGGATCCTCAAAGCAACGCGACTTTTGTTCAGAACGCCTAACGTGTTCAAGGTAGGCCGGTAATTGCAAAGTTCTCGGGGAACTCTTTTTCTCAAGAGTTTCTCAAAGTAGCTCAAGTCAATCGGTTTGCTGGGACGCCATCTGTGTACGTATATGCATTTTCTAGATTGTTTTTCTCTTGAGTGCTTCTGTAATGTTGCAAAGAGATCGTGGTGCCATTGCTTGTGAATTTTACCTTCTAACAGATCTGTCAAAACGATACTATGACGTCGGTGAGAAAATAGAACATAGACACATGGTGACAGATCAGGCGCGACGGTCAAATCTACTAAGTTGGAAAGTTGTTGTAGCATAACATTGCGAGGACTGATCAAACGGATTGACAAACTCAAGTCAGCACACGCGGCTCCAAAAAGTTCAGTGCTGCATCAGTTGTTTGATATATCTTGGAACGCAAAACTTTCGAGGCACAAATGAGAACCAAGTGCATGCTGGCCGCAAAAGCTGAAACCTCACAACCGTAGGAGGTCAATCTTAACAAAGTTCGAAGGCCGGTTCCATGTTTGTAAAGAGGAGGGCTATTTGCTCACGCGCAGAGTATTTCCACCATACCCAACTTCAAGTTCTCCGATTATCGGGGAGTTCGTCTTTGATTACCTTCGTCCTTTCAATTCAAATCCTGGCTGTCGGGTGTTCTTTAAATCAAAGTCTGTTCTGATCAGCTGGGACGATCAGGGAACACATTAATGTCAACATGGAATCTGCCCGTAGTCTAATGCAGAATTTCTTGACGCAAAAGTTTGCAGCTTGGGTGCTATTTTAACGTCCAAACGGCCAAGCCGTCAAATCCTCAAATCCTTGGGTCTCTTTGCAGGTTCCCCTCAGCGACATCCGTCGTTACGTTCCTCCGGTTGCAAGAGATTGGTCGTGACGTCTCCACGACGTCTCCTCATGGCTAGCAAGGAAGCGGGAACACAGGGGACGTACACAAGAGCGCCAACGGTTGACAACGAGCCTACCCTTTGGGGCACCCCCCTCTCTGCACTTCCGAAGTGGTTAAGGATCGGCGCGTTTCTGCTGTGGCCCCTATTTGGGTGGGCTGCGCTCTACATTCTCTTTCTTTCATTCGTCTGCGGCGAAGACACTCTCAGTCACTCTGAGATAAGGGTTCTGGTCCTGGGAGCTATAGGCCTTCTTTTCTGGCGCCTCTCCCAGATCGGAGCGGCTTTAGACCCAGTAACTGTGGCTCCTAGGAGGGACACAGCAACAAATGTGGCGCGGGGAAATACCAGCACAGCATCAGGCCCGTGAAGATAGTCATGTAGCGCGGATTTGCACGCCTTACAAAGGCAGGCGAACAACATATCAAGGGGCCCCCATACATGCATCGTAACTTGATAAAGGGAAGGTATACACCAGCAGAAGCCCCCCTTCATTTGTGTGCCTGACTACAGCACCTATTCATGCACTAAGAAAAGCCGGGCTCTTAGTAAATCTCGGTGATCTCCTGGCCAGTTTTCGAGCTGACTTGCACCAACCTGCTGTTTCTGACCTGCGCGCGCGACTGTCCCCCTCGTCAAATGTACAAGGTTACGGCGAAGCATAAGACCCGTTTGGTCCCAGTAGGTATGATCGTTCCAGTCCTTTGACCCTCGATCCTCAAAGGGGCCTGCAAGCTTGTACTTCAGGACATGTCGAGCTCAGCTTATCATTTACACCCGTGGTTTCAAATCGATGCGCACATGTCATTAATTTGCAAGGCATACCGTTGCACTTGCCTGCTGGCCTCTTGTCCGTTGCACGAAGTACCGTATATCTAGCGAAAGCCAATGGGAGTCACTTTTGGCGCCACGAACACGCATAATCACGTGGACCGATTTTGCAGTCAAATGATGATAAGGCCATGCTAGGACACGCTATATATTGTATAATGCGCACTCATTACCAGCTGGGCTGTGCAGAAAAGTCGCAAGCTTGACGCGGTATTGGCAAATTAAGCGGATTGCAGGCCGCAGTCACTAAAGTGGTTGAAAGTTGATGGCGCTTTAATGGAGCTGCGGAGCTCGTTCGTAGATGTTCCGAATCCGCGAAAAGCTTCAGGCCTGCACATACGCATATCGTGATCCATGCGCAGAGTACGTAGCCAGCACCAACCTTGCTTCACTCCGACTGCACATGCAGTATTTGCACCAAACAGATTCATGAACCTGCCAACTAAGCGGCCGCAACGTTCTTCTGCAAAAACCATGGTGCGCACCGAAACAAAGCGATTGTAGCCTGGTATTCCTTCTTCAACACCTTCGTGTTGCAAATCAGCTCGAGTCTGTGCACGATGGTTAGGTGCACTCGAGTTAGGTGCACAACATGATCGAAACCAGCGCACACCATGTCTGAGCTAGCTAACAGATTATCGGTTAGTTGTATACGTACTCTGACGCTTCTACACTAACTTGCACTGCAACACTTGCTACTGGTATTGTTAGTTGGAATCAGACTCTGTTTCCCTCACCTATAAGTAACCTCTTCAGAGGTGAAGCGTCAGGAATCGTATGCACCTACGACCACAGATCAGCACGAGTGGCCTGCCCATGCAACGAGCTTGACCAGACTTTGACTGTTTGCTTCCAAAACTTGGTCATGTTAGAAGCCGCATTAACTGTCATTAGGACGCGCCGCTATCGAGGTGATAACGTGCGGATGTCTCCTGCCCCTACGCGTTACTGCATTACAGAGCCAGCACCCATTGCGCCTGCTCGTCAAAACGGCTACTCCCGCCGCCCGGGAGAACGCCCAGGCCAGCCGGTTGCCTCTGCCACGTGGCTCCCTCTCCCGCTCTGCGATTCAACTCCACTCGCAACCTAGCCTTCCGCTCCTCCGCGAGCTTCTCCAGATCATATGCGCTCCTACTTGCGTACGTCACATGCTCCGGCAACACAACGCGGGGGCGTGCCGGCTGTCCCGGTCGCTTCTGGAGGTCAGGCGGCGGTAAGTCCTGACCCTTGACAGTCCCGGGCAGCTCACAACCCTGCCCGGTCATGACCTTGGCCACATGTTTTATGATGCTCTGGGATTCGGGAGTCTTTCCAGAGTGGTTTGACAAACCCGGCGCCTGAGCACTCCACTCACAACTCGACTCGGCCCTCGACTTGGCCGCAACGCTGTGCCGGGGGGTCGTTCTCCGGACCACCGGGGAGGGCAGCTGCCACTTCGGCCGTCGCCCAGAGGGATCCCCCTCGAGGCCGTCCGCTGACGGCTTGACGGGGCGGGATGCCTTTGGGCTCTGCTTTCGGATGGACGCCGCAGTTGGCAGCATGTACCGCTTTGGGCACGCTCCAAGTTCGGACGCCTGAGAAAGTTCGGACGCCAGCTCTGGTTTGGACGCCAAACGCACCTTGAAGGCCAACTTTGGTTCGGACACCCGCGCCGGCTCGGGCGCGCGCTTCGTTCTGGGAGACCCCAGGTCGGCCGACTTGCTCAGCGACGTGACCAGGCCCCACTTCGACGTCCTGCTGACGTCAGCAGGCCCGAACGCCGGACGCCTGTAGGATTCGGACGCCTTTGAGGGCTGGCTCCACGCGGAGCCTTTGCTCGATTTGGACCTCCGAAGGGGCTGCGCACAGAGCACCGAGTTGGGGCTGCCGGATGGGCTGCCGTGGCGGGGCGGGCTGGAGCTCGCCGTAGGGTTAATTCTCTGCCGAGGGGGGGTGGCAATGGCCTTGGAAGTGGCCCTCTGCCTGGGGGGGGTTTGGTTTATCTGGAAGGGGCGCAGGCCAGAAGGCGGGGCGCCTTTGAGGAGACGCTCAACCTCCAATTCGCAGAGGGCGAGGTCCATGATGGGGTCCCGGAACAGGGGGTAGCTCCGGGGCTTGCCGACTGAGACAAAAATAGGGCGGGGCAAGGATTAGTCACGCTAGTAGAACATGGAAGTAGGACATGAGGATCACTGGGCTTACTTTTTTGTCACAGGGAAGGCAGCCCCTGACAGGCAAACCGTTTAGCTGAAGGCATAGCGGGAACGGAGAGCTCAGCTGGCAGCTCAACAAAGGGGCAATTTCGAAGCGGCAGGGAAGTCCAGGACTGATATTGGTACAGGAACATATTAGAAGCGCCAAGGCTGGCACACTAATAGAAAAGCGGTGGATAAAGGTTGTCCTTTTCAATCTGCAAGGAAGGGGCATTCCAACTAATGACAGGGTTCAAATGTTTCTCTTTGCAAATGAAAGGGTTACTGTTGGTCAGTCGAAACAGAAACGTACCAAGAAATTTCGAAGAGAGAGATGTCAGTTGACCCTGCACTGAATATTAGCCTGTGGATTGGAAAGCACTTAATGAAAGGGCGACAGGATTCACATCCTTACACAGGCAGAGGAAGAAAAGCAAGGCATGGGAGCTGTTGGATATACAGTGTTCCCAACGACGATAGAGCTCTAAGACAGTCTCTAGAAAAGTATGTTACAAATACCTGGAAAAGTTGACAACTTCGAACGACAGGCAAGAAAACTTTGTTTTGCAGAGCAACTAAAATTCCGCCTTGAATGATGCTGCTAAAAGTAGAGGGGGAAGAGATCAATCTATGCATAGACATGGGTGATCTGCTGAGGGACATACGCCCCTTAATCACTGCATAAGAGAACCGCAAGGTTGAGCAAAACACCTCCATGTGAATTATCTGAGCACCTGTCTGGATTCCATCGACCATGGACGAGCTGAAACAACAGCTGTTGAACCAGAAAGATGTTATAGCAAACCAGGGCACCCGGATCTGGGAACCTAGGAATTTTTGTCATATACAGAAGTGAAAGCAAAATAAGTTAGAGTCAGGGACAGATTGACGCTGGGAAGGTGTGAGCTATATCAATCCGAGCCATACTCTTAAAATTCTCTGAATTGGCAAAAGAAGATGTGTCAAAGCAGCTGACGCAAAATACCCCATAAGGGGGCTCCCTGACAATCGTCTCTTTCTAAAAGCATGATGCCTCCCTGCTTCCAGAACCAATGAACCATGATGACACCATCATGCAGATCAAGGGTGGTTAGATTCCTTCAGCTAGAAGTGGATTCAATCATATCATCTCAAGCCACAACCACTCTCTTCAAACTTTCATTGGCCCTACGTTGCAAACAATGCTCGAAACCAAGCTGAAACCTGTGCCAAGAGTGCCATCCGCACCAATGCTGTGAACTACTGCGCATACCTCAATAATGCACTGGCCAGGGACACTTCTCCGAGCCCCTTTTTCTCAGGCCCCTACATACTTGACTTCAGCTTGGCCCTTGCCTCAACCGGTGCGGAGAAAACACCAACCGCGGACTTTGGCCCTTCTCCCCAAGAAGGAGCTGACTTATCATTCTGGCTACTCTTACAAGAGCTGATTCTAAGATTGGTCACAGTCAAATGAGGTGCTGCCAGCTCACCTTCTCTGTCAATATACATCTCAAACCATGTTTGGAGATCCTCTTCCGATATTCTGTCCGGCTGCGTGAAGTCCACAAACATGGGGCAATCCATGCATTCGTAAAACGGATCGATGATACCAGCCGCCTCCGGCCCTTGGAGCTCGCCCCCCATGGAGAACTCCCTTCCTGCGTTCCACACTTGAAACTCCTCGCCGGCCATTCAGTACCAGCAATCAAAGCAGCTGGATTGGTATACCCACAGAATGCAAGACATGTCATTGTTGCTCTGCTTGCATGTAGGACTCTATATCCTGTCCGGTGCAGTAAGAAACCCTTGAATTTTCACCGTTGCTGCCACCGAGGTGAGGACGTCTTGGGGAGAACGGGTGGCACTTCCCAGATGCGTTGGTGGAAACAGAGCAGAACATGCACCAGACAGGATGCATCGGACAGGACGCGAGCTCAGCCCCTGGCCCTCAGCCAAAAGCACCGGGTGACCACTTCCTCTTCCTGTCACATCGTTGCCAGATTCAGGTACTCGGAGTATCAGCTCGCTTCATGTCAAAGCGCTCGGGAAGACATAGCACGAGTACCACTGCTGCAAGGAGCAACCTTGCTCGAGCACCACCACAGCTAGGTCCTATACGAAGAAGTAATGGTGGGCCGCCAAACATTCATGAGCTGTTCGATGGGGCTTCAAAGCAATCATGAATGTCAATTCCACGGATGGCAACGGCACTGCTCTGAGCAGCGGATGTCTCGTCATTTTAGCAAAACTTTTGGGGAGAGTGCACTGGCGGCCAGCCCCCATGGACGGTTACGTTCGTACGGATTGGTAGACTACAGTAGACCTCATACACCTGTCCAGATCTGGGAGGGGTGTACGCAAGCCAAGTTGACAAGCAGCCGCAGGATGATTTCCAAGTGGGGCGGCCCGGTCCCCATGCATGCCGGCATGCAACTTGCAAGCCCATGGCAATTTAGGTAGGTAATACTGGCAACGCCGCTTGCACCAAGATACATACCGCAGCTCCCGGGAGCCCAAAGTAAAAGGCCTAACCAAATGATTCTTGTCACGCCCTTCGCACCCGCACCCACCCTAACCCCCAGACTAACCGCACCCCTCCCCCGGGAGCTTATCTTAGTGTTAGTGCAAGCTAGCGTGGCAACACATCTCCAGCTGGTCAGCTAGGAGGTACCGGTTTGGTACTCGCGGGCTACCCGTGACCGTTTTACACCGCGACCATGATACCGTAATTGGAAGCACCGTACATACCTGGGTTATTGGGCGTACGATTTTACTTGCCCATGGGTACGGTGTGTAAGAATCACGTACCGGTTGTCAGTAACGGTTAACCTCCTGCACCGGGGGAACAGTCCTTGAAGCTCGGTTGGCTGCTGAAGTCAGCTCGGTTGATTTCTATAAGCGGACGTACATGGCGCCCTCATGGCGCCATAGTACATACAATTCGAAACCGGGCATGTTGTGTCCGACCGGGGTAAAAACAAGCAACCGCCCGGCCGGGGTGAGGCTGGTTGATTCTACCTGATGGATTTGGAATTACGGTATGCATATTTGAGGATTTGGGATGTATCGATCTTCCATCTCATCATCTCCGCTTCCTTCGGTTCTATTCGACTCCGATAAGGTGATAGATCTGGCAGGGCGAGAATTGCCTGGCTAAAATCCCCGGGGATGGTTTCACAGAGAGAGACCTGATTCGTTACCAAATTTCGCTCGGCCAGCTCACATTCTAGAAGCGCCGAGCAAAGGGTCCGATCGGACCAAGAACAGATCGAACACAGCCATACGCGGATCGTCCGGCAGTAATCTAAACTGAAACTTAACCTGTACGGCTTGTGGGCCGTGGCCCAGCAGACTGTAGCGAAACATTAGCGTCGAGTACCGAAGACCTCCAGGTCACATACCGGTAGGATCCGTCGGGCCTCGGTGGTCATCGAACGGTCATCATTGAGGTGGCCGCAATTTCTGCGGGATCCCCCAGAAAGCTGGATGCCTTATTAATTACGACGACAGGCACGTCGACGTTTTACCATTACCAGACATACCTAGTATGCGCGCGGCTTTGACTAGTAATGCGCGCGTCGGATCTCCGACCAACGTCGGCGTGCTTTCCAAATTTGGTACGTTTCGTACGCGTCGGATTTCTGGCTTTTCCAAACGTCCGCAACGATGCATATGATTAATTCAATTCTGAACGTCCAACTATTCAAGTCACAGTGTTCAACTTCCAGGTGCAAGCTTGGGGATGGTCGCCTTGAGTTTGAGCTGGCTTTGATTCTTGAGGCTACAATCTTCTGTCCAATGCTGTCTACGCGTCAAGGTTGAGCTGATTTCCTCTTGTTCTGACAAGGGAGAAAGGGCTTCTCAATGCCGTCCATTTAGCAAGGCTCAGTTTTCTGCTGAAAAGGTGGGCTTACTTGAGCGGCGTGACAGGATCGAGCAAAGCACACAGGTCCAATGCAAAAAGAAAGGGGCTGTCGAAAGTGAGCTGGATTGAAAGACTTGTAAGTACCTCACCTGATGGCCTTTCTACTACTTCATCCTGTATTGATGTTTTTACCACTTGAAACATAGCTATTTGGATCACCCGTATCATTTGCATATGCGAGAGTGCAACGAGCGGCAATTGGTAGTGGTGCTATGATTGCTGCTAATAGGTGGGTTGAAAAGCAAATGTCAGCACTGGAACTCAATCTTCGTCATAAGAATAGCATTCTATTGACCATTTCTGACGCTTTGAGCAGCCACAGAGCCTCAAACATTTGCGAAGGCAAAGATGGTGAGACTTGCATGTTAGATAGTGCTGAGAAAGTTTATGCATCTGCAGGTAAAGCTGGGGGAGTGGATTGTGCTACAAAAATGAACGGCTTTCTAGAAGAGGATGATTTCACCATGTCCCAGCAAGCGAACCGCCCGCTGGTGCAGGCGCACAGAACCGCACGAACAAAAGAGATTCATGACAATGTGCACGGAACAATATCTTTAGATCCGGTGAGTACAGAGCTGACCTCGCTCACAATGCTGTCAAAGTAGTGCTTAGCCCCCCACTGTAGAAGCAGTGCCCTGACCTGGTGAGACTTCAGTTCCCTCATTAGAGCAATCAATTCATTCAGCTGAAAGATTGCATGTCACGTAAGGTGGGTTAGGAGCTTACAAAGCACCAGACATTGGCCTCATCAGACCTCGGTCGTTTGCTGTAGGTGGCCCTCCAGATCATTGACACACCACCATTCCAACGGTGAGCCCCCTCCTGACCAGGAGTCTATTTAGTCCAACTTAAAGTCCGTGGCATGATCCCTTCACCGTATGCTTTACAAACACAAAAGTTTTCTTGGTACACGGGGCATGCTTGATCGGTTTGGCATCACATTTTGATCGCTATCAAACGGTCACATCATTGCAATGGACAGGACTGAAGTTCTTACCTGTCTCTGCAGGTTGAGAGACATCAAGCAACTAGGTTGCTGCAGCTTCGTGTTCCCGGGAGCTATTCACACCCGCTTTGAACACTCGCTTGGTGAGTAAAACCGTACTTACAGTTGAGACCACACACTAATCGAGTGATCCTAGAGGATGTGACAAGAAGCCCTCAAAAGCCTTTCTGTCTTTGAAATGTTGACTGGTCCTCAATGTGTGCAGGAACATACAAGTTAGCCGGGGACGTGTATGAACATCTGAGCCATTTCCAGCAAGCAGAGCTTGATCTGACTGAATTCGACAGAAGCGCCCTGATGCTAGCAGGTGAGCCCGTGCCCTGAACGCTCCCAAACTGTGCTTTGTCAGCTGTTGCTATTCAAACGCTCTGACATCTGACCTGGCAAACCTATCTCCGGCAAACAGCTGCCGAAAGGGCACTATGCCAGAATGACAGCTTCAGCCAAGTCATAGGTTAGAGTAACCAGAAACATGCTGTTGTCTTTACCTTTCCCGTCTATACTGCGCAGGACTCTGCCACGACTTGGGTCATGGACCATTCTCTCATGGTGAGCTTTTGAAGTCCTACCATTGGTTGCATTTGAAGATCCTTGTTCAGCACTTTCATTAATTGATTGAGTCAGACCTGTCACTAATTCGGACGAATATGGAAAGCTCTCCTGATCCACAGTAGCATGTAAATTTGGAACTGGATGGGTCTGCATGGCCCCTGAACAGTAGCTTTCATGTAGCTTAGGCAACAACTGGTCGTCCCTGTTGCTCTCATGAAGCCATTTCTCGGCGCTGTCCTCTGCAGTGTTTGACAACGAGATCCTCTCCAAGATTCCAGCCCTTGAAGATTGGAAGCACGAGCACATGTCCACCAAGATGCTGGATTATATCGTGGAAACTTACAATGTCGACATCCCTCCGGCTCTTCTGAAGCGTGTGAAGGTGAGGTTAGAAACTCAGATAGGTAGGTATCTTTGGGTATGCCAGAGTTTCTTGAGTGAAGGACAATGCTCTTCGGACGGGGAAACATTCACTTGTTCTGCAGAGTATCTCGAAGTTTGAGGATAAGAAGGCGGCATGTTGTCCCACACCATTTCACTCCCCTGTCTGTGCAGGATCTTATTCTTGGGACGGTAGTCCTTCCTGATGAGGTGAGGTGGCGTTGCAGCAAAGTGAAATGGAATCAAGTACAGGTTCTCAATCGACGTCAAAGGTTGAGGTTCTTCTGATAGATACAGTCCGGCCATTCTCGCCACTTTGGAGTCAGCAATTTCCCAGCCTTCAATCTTTGCTCTTTCTGGATCATCATACCGTCTTTTTGAAAAGGGAAGGCATTCCCTCGTCGAGCCTTTGAGTATACACAGTCATTATCATTGTTCGACCTCCCGTTCGAAACATGTTCGAACTCATGTGATGCTGGAACATGCAGCACGATAACAAGCGGTTCCTCTTCGACGTCGTTGCAAACGTCCGGAACAGCATTGACGTAGATAAGTTTGACTACATAGCCCGGGACTGTAGAAACAGTGGGGTCGAGTCAGGTTACTCATATGAGAGGTAAGAATGGAGTCCAACACATTGTCCTACGAGCGTCCTACAAGGTTTTGACGGAAGTTATGTGTAGCCGAACTTGTCTTGCACTTTCTCTGGCTGCTTCGTAAAATTACGCTGGAGCCTCCATGCCAGCGCTAATTGGATCTTTCGAGTGGCAGGGCTTGCCGTCTGCCTAGCAAATGCTGTCAGATCAAAGCGATCGCTCTTTCGCTGTTATCTCATCCGTGTGTTATTTTCTGAGACGCGTGCATATCTGCTTCTTACACCCACTATGTGTCTCCAGGCTCATTATGGGCATGAAGGTGATTGACAACGAGATATGCTTCAGGCAGAAACAATGTGAGCTCGCGTTGCCTTCTGTCAGCGGCCATGCATTAAGTCGTTTCCCTCGGCCCGGATTACGTCTCCTTATGTGCCTTTGACCGTTCGCTGGTACTCCCGCTGCTCTCTCTTGGTCGTCTAAAAAGGACTTGGCGAAATAGCTCGTCTTTACCCAACTTTCACTGTCTGGCCCTTTAAAGCCATTTGACGTGCTCTCTGCGAATCGTTTGGCGAGAATCTGGCTGGAGTGCCTGTTTCGCCTTTTCAGAATCAAACAGCTTTTTACTGGTTGAATTACTAAGGTTGTGAAATTCGCGAGGTAAGAGCCTGCGCCAAAAGAGCCTACTTAATCTACAAGCCACTTCTTGCAGGTGACAACTTGTACCACCTGTTCGCGACAAGAGCACGGCTTTACAGGACTGTATATACCCATGACAAGGTCAAGGTGAGGCAGGATTGCTACTAAAAACTGCCACTTGGAACACCTATTCCATCTTTTCAGCTCGAGTTTGTCTCGTTTCCGTGATTGCGTCGGATTCCTCGGGAGATCGTCGAGACTATCTTTGTAGCATGGCTGACTGCGGAAGCATCTCTATGCAGGCTGTCGAAGCCATGATCACGGATGCTCTGTCTCTGGCAGACCCTTACCTGAAGTTCACGGAGACTGTCAACGACCCCGCAACCTACTGGAAGGTAAGTTCACAGACAAATTCGCCACTTTCAAGTATTGTAAGACTCCGGGATTGCAAGAGGCCTTGACTCAACAACTCCAAGACTGCAGCTCTTTGAAAGGGGTCCTGTCAAGAGCTGTAAAGAGGCTTCTTTCTGCTTATCAGTTTGCCGAGTAGGTTGGTCGTGAGAAAGATTCGAAGGCTTCAAAGTACTCGTCTTTGTTTGAGCTGCAATCAAACATTCAGCGTTGGGTGCCTATTCCTGCAGCTGGACTCACGCGAGAAGCCGGGTTGGGGGTCTCTTGTTTAGATCGAACTTAAAATCATTCCGATGCTCCGCACCGATCGATTTTTGTTTTGACAGCTCGACGATACGATCTTGAAGAAGATCGAGGTTTCCGACGCACCCGAGCTCGCAGCCTCACGGAAGATCATTGAAAGGCTGCGGAAGAGGGATCTTTACCGCTACTGTGCTTCGTACGTCAAGCCCAAGGACTGCCCCAGGAAGAGCGAGAAAGTCACACCGGCCCACATTGCGGCGGTGAGGTTGGACTTCGCTTCTTGTTCGACTGAAGGGTACTAGGCAGAGCGCCTTCTGTTGATCATAAAAGGCTCATGCCAGCCTCTTTTACCTAAACTCTCGGCCCAGCATCTTTCAGACGGTAAGAAAGAGCAGACTTTTCCTGATGTCTGTCCCCAGCATCTTTCAAGCGGTCAGAAAGAGCAGGATTTTTGGCCCAGGTTGTGCGGATGCATTGAGGATGGGGAAGTTGTGGTTCAAATTAACATCCCGCAGACTTCTTGGTTGCAGATATCAAAAGGTGCACTGCTGCCAGACGACATTGCAGTCGCCAACGTGAAGATCAACTACGCTCTGGGAGACAAGAACCCTGTGGACAAGTGAGCACGCAGCGCGTTTGCTATGCGCAGCAACCAATTTGCGTGTTTGCAGATTTGGGCACAGTAGACATTCCAGAGCAATCCATGGGACATTGCGCAGACGGGGCCCGATTGCAAGTTTTGTAGGGCCCCTGGTATCTGTTGGAAAACGTGCTTTCAACTTCGAGAGTTGTAGCTGATGTTTTCCTGTCTCGTGCTTGCAGCGTCCACTTCTTCGACGTAAGTTCTCCCTCTCCCTCTCCACGTGTCTCCTCTCTCCTTGGTGTGACAGAGTTAGAGTTCAAAGACTGTGCATTAGCACGGTCCAGATACCTTTCTAAGTTGCAGCGTCAAGAGATCTCTCATAAACCCAGCCCTTCCACTTCCACAGCACCCGACCGTTCCTTGACTCACTTGCCGAAAGATCCTGCTCGTGTCGCCTTTTTGCAGCGGTTCGACTCAACGGAGAAGTACCTCATGCTGAAGCACAAAGTCTCCCACCTGCTCCCCGAGGTCTTTGAGGAGCACATCGTGAAGGTGTACGCCAAGGACCCTGCGAAGGTACGAGTTTTCTTGCTCATCAGCAGCTTGATCGCTATGCGCCACACTTCTGCTAGTGCTGCATTATGAGCAACGTCTTGCAGTGGTTCGTCTTACGGGTTGTAGCAAACATTGTGAGTCAAGACCGTCCTTCATCATGCCGTTAAAGGCCCCCTCTTGACCTGATTACCCGCTCAATGGATGACTTGATTGAGAGAATTCAGTATTGAAGCGTGTGCGTCCTACTGAATGGCCAAGGAAGGAAGTAGAGTCTAGCACTCACTGCTACTGCTTTCGACCTGCCTCCAAGCTGTCGATTGCCGGTTAGCTGCGCGCTAGTCATCAAAAGCTGCCCTACTTTGGATCCTTCTTCCTTCTGCCAGGCTGACAAAGTAAGAGAGGCCTTTGAGGAATACCAGAGGCACTCATATGACGGGGCTGTGCACAGCACCCCCGCCAAGCCCAAGAAGCGCCACCGATCAAGGTCCCCTACAGAACCAAAAAAGTTGATTCTATAGGACCACCATGATAGCTACATGCGTCCTTCGAAGAGAGTCTCATGTGTCTGCATTCATAGCAACCCCTCCAGCTCGCACGCATCAGATACAAGAGTTACCAAGGACATGGCTTCGCATTTTGGATACGCACTGCAAGCTGCAAACGTGTCATGCGATACAGGCTCGGCATCTGATTAGGCTCGGTACTTCGGAGCGCTCGTGTTTATTGACAAGCGATGAAACTACATGAATTCGTTGTATGGTTATGTATGGAATTCATAGTCATGCATTATTTCCCCCCTAAGCCACCGAGTCGTCCCGACGAGGGTT